ACACACAGACCTGAAAAAAATGTGAATAAATTTCAAATTCGAGCATTCTAACAAGGCACAATCCAAAGCTATGCTAATTGGAAGGAGAGATGACAGCAGGAAAACACTGTTTTCTGTAACTAAACCATTATATCTCTGTAAGAGCAAAACACTTTGTATGTGCAGTAGAAACACCGAACTTCACAACAAGTGAGCTGAGCGGCCTCACGCAGTGCCAGTGCCAGTGCCTGGTGTGATGGCAGTGCCAGTGCCTGGTGTGATGGCAGTGCCAGTGCCTGGTGTGATGGCAGTGCCAGTGCCTGGTGTGATGGCAGTGCCAGTGCCTGGTGTGATGGCAGTGCCAGTGCCTGGTGTGATGGCAGTGCCAGTGCCTGGTGTGATGGCAGTGCCAGTGCCTGGTGTGATGGCATTGTGTGTGGTGCACAGCGCTCATCTGGTGGCTTCAGAACCACGGTTGCGGAGAAACCGACTGTGCACACAACCTGGTCAAGGACTGCCAGAAACACCTCGGATGCATTCTTGTGTTTGATCTCGAGTCACGCTTTGGTGGTTGTGCATTCAGAAGTCTTCTATTGTTCCCAACATTTCCACCGCCTCTCCACTCAGTTATGTGCCGACCTGGGGTTTTACCCTGGAAGCTGTGGTCTCGGGCAAGGATGGGAGCCAGAGAGGAGGAGGGACGGACTTGCCAATGGCCATCTGGGGCATTGCGAGGAATGAAAGGGAAGGTCAGGGGCTTGGGTCCGATGTGAGTCTCTGAGGAGAAGGAGAGAGGGAGCTGGTGGCAGAAAGTAGGGGCCAGCTGGTCGCGCCAGGCGTCACCCCAACTCACTTCTTAGCTCTCCAGTCCAGGCCTACCTCCTTTGTAGCCACCCATGTCTGGCTCTTCTAAGTTCCCCAAAGAGCACATGACTTTTCTGGATGACTTAGACCCAATGAACCTTCTACAGGAACCCAACCCTGGAGATCCACGCCACCAACGGGGACCTTGGGGAGGTGCCCCTCAGTGATACCCATTTATGTAGGAGCTCTATGTGGCTCCCAGAAGACCATCTAGGGAATCAGTCCCTGCCTGTCTAGGCCTCAGTTAGACCTCATGGAACAGACCTTAGATGTACTACCCTTAGAGCTTCATGGTGGGTGTGGGAAGCCATCATACAACTGCCAAGGCTCAAACCTAGAGAGCCTGAGCCAGTGTTGGAAGTTCTCAATCCTGCCCACAGCCCTGGTCTCCCTGCTGGGCCTCTGTGCAACAGATGTGCTGGACCTTTGCCTTGAATAATAGTGATCACCAACCATTTAGCCTCCTGTTCTATGCTAGGCAGTGAAGTTCGGTATTTTTGTTACTAACCTTTCTAACGGCTGTAGGCCATTGCCATCTACTTGTTAAAATGTCTGGACCGGTAAGTTAACAAATTAGGATTAGAATTTAGCTCTGAGTGTGTGTGTGTGTGTGTGTGTGTGTGTGTGTCTGTCTGTCTGTCTGTCTGTCTGACTGCAGAACTGAGCTCTTTGCCTTCTAAACTATACAGTTCCATAGCACACTGACCACATGGACTCTGGCTGGGGGAACCCACACACATACTCCAATTGTCTCTAAGAATCTTAGTGTCTCAGACACTGGGCCTAACACCAAAGGCTATCAGAGCAGAAGGAAAGGAATTTTCTACAGGAAGCCCCTGGGACCACTGCAGGGAGAGGCCACATGGGCCAGGGCAAGCCCAGCAGCTCAGGTTCATCTGTTCACATTTTGCTAGCCTCATTTGAAGGGATTTCCTGCTTTGGGGACATCTTGAAATCCGCAGCTGTCATCTTCTGTACTCGGAGGAGAGCTTGGGGCCCAGTGGACAGAAACTTGTCTCTAGGCAGATCTTGGTGTCGGGCAGGACTAGCACTTGAGCAGCCTGAACAAGCATTCTCCCATCTGGTAGCTTCAGTCATTCAGGGACCATGTGTGTACCTGGTCATCTTTCAAACAGGCCGGCCTGGAGGAGGCCGTCACTCCAAGAAATGGATTCCTTACCCACAGGCATCTAAGCAACCCTTGGTAACCTATTCTTGCTATCGGGAAAGGGGGTGCTGGATGTACAACAGCAAGTGTACAAGAGGGGGGCAGAGGAGGGGGATGTGGGGGTGCACTTTGGTCTGGCTTTAACCAGGGCCTCCTGGGCTGGTAGCCTGAGATCATTCATATACTGCCCCAGATGCTGAGCACGCCATCTGAAACAGGGGTCTAGTCCTAGTACTGTCTCTGAGCCCGGTGTGAATACCTTATTCATTTGTTCATTCACTCACTTAGCTTGGAAGAACTGAAAGATACTTTAAAATAGTTTCTCCTAACAGGTGACAGTGGTGGCGGCACACTCCATTAACTCCAGCACTCAGGAGGCAGAAGCAGACAAATCTCTGTGAGTTCGAGGCCAGTCTGGTCTACAGAGTGAGTTTTATGACAGCCAGGGCTATACAGAGAAATCCTGTCTTGAAAAAGAAACAAATGTTTTCCCTCCGATTATCTGCTTCTTAAAGATGAAAGCCAGTTTTGTCCCAAAGTCTAGAGCAATTTGCTTTCCAGCCTCTTGTAAGAGGATGGAGGGGCCTGTTTGTATCTTTTGTGAGACCTGGAAGGAGCAGTGGTGTAGGAAGATGAGGTCTCAGGGAAGAGGATGCTGAGGGGAGAGCCTGTCTGCAAAAGCAGGGGCGTGGGAGCTAAGAACTGGATTCCTTTACTCTCCTCAGCCCCCTAAAAGATCTTCAAGGACGAGATGTGGCCCCACCGAGAATGTCCAGCCTTGCATTCCCACAGACAGCTGCCCAGCCGTTCCCTCTGCTCTGGGCAGCCTCCGCAGTCCCCTGCAACCCCAGCTCTGAGGAGGCTCTTGGGAAATGTCCTTGTTTCTCCCTTTCCTTCCTCTTTTCTCCTGTAAGAGATCAGAGGCAGCTGCCCGAGTGGGCTCCTTTCCCCCATCGCTCACTTCAGCTGTTCCTCCTGAAGCCTGAGTGTCACCTAGGTGACATCTCTACCGCTCCATTTGGTGGCTGATGGTGAGCTTTCAAGCAGTGCCTCGCTTCAAGGCTAGATTCCCCTGATGGTCCTCCTGGACCAGCAAGGGAAGATCTGGGCCGGTTACTTCTCCTGGGAAGCACATTTGTTTTCTCATCTAGTCAGGAAGATGGGTGGGGTAAGGATGCCCCCAGAGGTGGTGAGAGGTTACCTGGGTCTCCATGGCCAAGTGGGAGACAAGCAAGAGAAAGCAGGAGCCCAGGGCAGATGAGCCTGCCTATCCCTCCTTCTGGCTCTTCTGCAAAATAAAGTACGGATCCTTGCCCTTCCCCCATCGTGGGACAGCTGAGGGGCCACCCTGCCTGACTGTAGGAGGCTGGTTTTACTTTGACTTTATCTGTGTTTTGGGGTTTTTTTCTGTAGAAGTAGGGTGCGCCTCTGGCTGGGTGTGGTCGCCATTGATAACTTGCATCCTCAGGCTCTTGTCCTGCTCAGAGTGGGGGAGGGACTCCTAAGATAGCCCTAAGCAGCTGGGGGGGGGCCCTGATTTCCAGCTAAGGGAAGCAAGAGAGCCCGCTGTTGAGACCTGGTGACCCTTTGCAGAGGCGCTGGCTGAGAGCCTGGCCCTGCTGGAGCCTGTGCCCGGCATCAGCTTCTGGCACTGACCTTGTGTTGGTTCAGGAACTTTCACTTTTGTCCCTGGAACTTCCCCCATTCTGGGAGCACAGTGACCTAGTTTTCAGAAGCCATATATGTCTCTGCAGGAGCCTGCAGGGCCTACAGCACAGCGGGCTTCAGTTCAGACTGACCCCAACACCCAAGCTGCTTTAAGTTGGCTTCCTTTCTCCCAGTCCAGTAACAGCCTGGCCTCCTCCTGAACCTGGAACGCCTTCTCCAGGGAGCTCCTGTGGCACTGAACATGTCAATGAGTCTCAAGTGTCTCTCATGGTGTCCCAGCAGACCTTCCCTGGCCCGTCTGAGACTTGGTAACTGAAAGTTTCGGGTGATCCTAGCTGTGCCTATCACGCACCTTTCTTAAGTGACCATGTAACTCACACAAGCCCTTGTTTTATTACCCTGTCTATTTACTGAAGGGCCGGGAAACTCCTGGAAGTCTTATGCCAGTTCCTCATCTCCCTCACCCACACCTGATGGGCTCCTACAAGGAAGAGAGACTAACTTGCTTGTGTGCCCTAGTGGTAGACAGCTTGCTGCCTTCTGCAGGGGAAACCCCGTCAAATCTCCAGAACTCTTTTTAACAGTCCTGGCAGAAGCATGTATTTCTTAAGAGAGAGGCTGACTTCAGATATCAAATTATTGGGACAATGGACTCAAGAATTATATTGCCCCCAGGAGTCTCATGCTGGGGGAAGGAAAAGGGTGCAACCCCAGTGCCAGCCAGGGGGAGGGACTTGCCTTCCACTACTGCTTGAAAGAGGGCTTGCCTGGATGGGGAGCACAGAACAGCTTCCTAATTCACCACCTGCGTGCCATTTAGATCCAGACCTTGCGTCTGGACTCCAAGGTGGACGCGGGCGTCACGGGATCTTTTGTCCAAGGTGGACACGGGCGTCACCGGATCTTTTGTCCAAGGTGGACGCGGGCGTCACCGGATCTTTTGTCCAAGATGGACGCGGGCGTCACCGGATCTTTCGTTCCTCCTCTCATTGTGACCGCTTTGCCGCCTTTCTCTGCCTTCCACTATCATTTGTCTTGGAGTACTGAGGACAGGGTGAACCCTCAATTGTCAGGGCTCCCAGAGCTCCAGGAGCATTTGCCTGGGAGAAAGGACCTTCCTGTTCCTGGCTGAGATCTGTCGTGCTTCCCTTTCTACCTGCCAGCTCCAGTTTCGACGCGTGGGATTCCAGAATTCCTCGGCGCACTCCCCGCTGCGGTCTTCCGGTCTGACCTCCAGTGGGCGCTTCCTCTCACAAGACCCCACTTGTGCAAGGCGGATGGGGCACCCGTGGCCTGGGAGCCCATGGTTCTGGTCACCACATTATCCGGCTGCCTCCTTAGCTCACTAAGAAAGCCCAGGCTTGTGACTTGTGTCCAGGAGTCGCTCTTGTTCCGTTATTCCCCAGCCCCGTGGCTTTTTGGGAGACTATGATTTGATGTCCCCAGTTCCACATCAGCCAAACCCAAGATCCACCTTGAGACAATGCCCCTCTTGTGACGTGCCCTCCTGCTGTCAGGTGGGGTCACACCACTGAAGTAGCTGCAGGGTCTTCTACCTCGAAAACTCTACCCTCAAACACCACCTCAGGAGACCCGAGACCTGTCTTTTGTGTCACAAGGGTGTGGACGGTTTCTGGCCACCAGGATTCTGGCTGTGGCTCCACCCTCTCCCTCAAGCTGAGTCACGATCACCATATTTACCTCTGTTCACAACTCCATCTGTTACCCCCAAACCTCACCAATCAGTTCAGAGCCCTTCCAACCACATGTTCCTGAGACTGGACGTCCTACGCAGCGTTGCAGGTTCCTAAACCCCAAGGGCAGTCTACTTCCTCTGTAATTTGTCAGAAAGTCCTAGGACATCGCAGTCACCAACCATGAGCTGTATGTTTTCCTCCCTCCTTTCTGCAGTCAGCCCCAAGCACTTCCTTCATGAGTGTGGCTGCGCCCTTCCTACCAGGAGCACAGGACAGCTCCTGGCAGATGGGTCCATGCTCACTCCCAGCCCTCCCGGTACCCAGGCTACAGAGAGGGTGGATTCCTAGATCCCTAAGGCGTGTGTGTGATCTTACCCTGGCTCCTTGTTCCAGGCTCCTCTTGCACCATTACTATTCCCTGTCTAAAGACCATCCCCTTCTGTGTGAGCTTTTGAGGTCAGGAGCCAGCATCATGAGGACGGTGCTCAGGGAGCAGACAGGTAGATTAGAGTTGGACTGAATTGGGTGGTGGGTGTGGTCACTCAACAATGATGAATTGATGGGTGGGTAGGTGTGGTCACTCAACAGATGATGAATTGACGGGTGGGTGGGTGTGGTCACTCAACAGATAATGAATTGATGGGTGGGTGGGTGTGGTCACTCAACAGATGATGAATTGATTGGTGGATGGGTAAGTGCAGGGAATGGAGGAGTGGATGGATGTGTGATGTTGGACTTAGATGGAAAGCAGGTGATGTTGGTAAACGGTGGGATGTTGGAGGGGTGATGGATGGTTTGGGATAAGCACTGAGCACAGAAAGATGCTGGGCTGACGGCTGTTTCAGATCTGAAGCAGTGTGGGTTTGTCTATCTTGATCCTCCTGCTCTTGGCCTCCAATTTCCCTCACCCCAGCCCCTCTGGTCTGGTCTCTGCTGACCTCATCGTTCAGTTGGGCATAGGCCCTTTCCTCACCACAGCCTCAGCCAGAGGATCACACCCTCCTCTCCCATCACCACGGAGCCCTTTTCTGTACTCTCCTTACTCCATTCCTCAATGATGCTTTATCCGGAACTCTCTCCTTATCTGGCTTTATTTGATTCTCTGTGTGTGTGTATATGTGTCCCTCCCTCCCTCCTTTCACCCTCCCTCCCTCCCTCCTTCCCTCCCTCTTTTGTTTTCACTGGTTCAGTATGGTACTATCAGCCCTAGCTAAGCTATTCTTCCCTGAGCTCCGGGTTCCAGACCTTCCCAGACTCCATTGGTCTAGTCTGAGGTATCCAGTCACCTTTAAAGATGTCTGACCAACTCTGGACTTTCCTCAGCACCACTCAGCAGCCAACAACATCTTTCAGAAACATTCTCTGAATCCCCACATCCCCCCACTTTTGCCTTAATTGTCTCCCATTGCCTCAGACAAAGACTCAAATCCCCAGCAGGGCCCGGAAGGCCCTACATAATCCACTGAGCTCCGATCTGCAGAGACATGGGGGGGGGGGATCGTGGTGTTGGAGACAAGACGAATATTGGTGTGGGACAGGGCTGGGCAACCAGAATGGAGAAGCGCCGGTGTCTCTGAGTGTCCTGAAGCATGCCGATATACGTTTGGTGGGTCTTCCGTCTTCACCGAGCCGTTCTCCATTCTTCTGTCATTCTAGCTTCCAAGCAGTTTAACAACGAGGTCCTGAAGGCCCACAATGAGTACCGGGCTCAGCACGGCGTCCCCCCACTCAAGCTTTGCAAGAAGCTCAACCAGGAAGCCCAGCAGTGAGTCCTCTGCACCCGGCAGGCGCTGGCCCTTCGTGGAGCCGCTTCTGCAGCGTGGAGGGTGTTACGGGGTGTTACGTTAATGCGCAAGGGGCCTTGGTGGATTCCATGGCAGGCGAGGGTGACCGAGGCGGAGGGACAAACATGCCAGGCAGACAGAGCTTAGTGAGAAGTTTTATGGGGGGGGGGGAGGAAAGAGAAAAGAGGTAAAGAGACACAGAGACAGAGAGAGGACAGAAGAGAAGAGGGAGACGGGAAAAGTCCTGTCTGCCCCAGGGAACGGCGGAAAGAGAGAGGGAAAAGACAGCGTAAGTGGACAGAAGACTTTCTTTTAAAGGGGTCCTTTGCATCTGCGTGGAACCCTGGGCTGACCAGGGTACCGCCTGAGTGCATTCTGCCAAGTGACAGGGACAGGCCGGCCTGAATCCTTACGGAGGGTCCTGAGTGGATGAAGAGATGTGGTTGGGTTCAGATACAGCCAGGCTTAGGGACCACTCTGCTGCCAGCCCAGGCAGGTCCACTTTGCTCCTGAGTTTCATTCATTGAGTTTTTCTGGAAATGGGATTGTTGGGAGGCCCAGGCGCCGGAACGATGTTTCCTCGCCATTCCTCTGGTGAGCTCAGACAGGGAAGCTAGATCAAAGCTTAGACGCTGGGGTCAGGGAGGGTCCCCAGGTTGAGCCTCCTCTGAGCAGACTTGTTGTGCAGGTATTCCGAGGCCCTGGCTAGCACAAGAATTCTCAAGCACAGCCCGGAGTCCAGTCGTGGCCAGTGTGGGGAGAACCTTGCGTGGGCATCCTACGACCAGACAGGTAGGACACTCTCGGCTCCTCTCCTCTCTGCCCAGCTGGACCTAGGATGAGGTCTGCAGACTCCTTTTGACACTGTGCCCTTCGTGGCTCGGTCATGGTGTGGCCACAGTCCCAGGAAGGGAGAGGAAGCCCCTGAATTCTCAGCATCTGCTCCGGGGCTGACCTCAGTGGCTAGCCCAGAGCCAGGAAGCTGGGAGCCCGGAACAGATGAGTCAGACTAGACAGCTCCGGTGCAGAAGTCCAGTTCAGAGGCGTGGGCGCTGGAGACTGCAGCATCAGTTCAATTTCAGCCTGCTTCTGTGGGCACTGGGGCATCCTTGATTTTTTCTAAATTATTAATACACTGTGGGTTGTATTGCTGTTATCATCAGAAAGAAGAAAATAATTGTTTTTCTTTTCTTAAAAAAGGAAGGAAGGAAGGAAGAAAGAAAGGAAGGAAGGGAGGAAGGAAGGAAGGAAGGAAGGAAGGGAGGAAGGAAGAAAGGAAGGGAGGGAGGGAGGGAGGAAGAAAAGATGATTTTTCTGCACAGGGCTGGGAGGGAATGACTCCACCCCACTGAGCAAACATTCTTGAGTCTCTGGCTCCTATAACCCTGAAGCAACTTTTTAGGAAAATAGTGAAAGATGTCACAATTCCTGGAGCTTCCTCCAAACCCCAGGAGGGAATGACTCTCCCCCACCCCCCAGCCTCACATTCCCCAGAGCTCCCAAGGGGATCCCCCAGGCTGCCTGGTTTCCCTAGTACACCAGCCCCACCCTCCACCTGCCACCCCTCCCCAAGAGCTATGTGCCTGGAAGGCAGCTGATGGGGGCCTCTGCCTCTTCCTCAGTCTGCACTCTCCTGGCTGGGAGAAGGAGTCTTGATTGGCCTTGTGTTGGATCCCTGGGCACTGTGATCAAGTCACTACTTTGTCTGGCCCTCGTTTTCCCAATCCTGCACAGACAGGTTTGGGTTGATGTCTCCTGGTTACACAGTAGTCTTTGGAGTGCTTTTAAGTTTTTCCAAACCCTGGGCCTCTCCTCCAGAGAACCCAAAACAGCTGAAGAGGACCTGGGCCCCAGCTTTCTTTAGATGGTCCCCAGGTGCGGCTGCTATGTCCTTCACTAACCAGCAGCAATACTAGGGAACTTGATAGAAATGAAGAGTCACGAGTCTTCTTAGAACCTACTTTAATCAGATTCTAGACTGTAACAAGGCCCTAGGGTGACTCATCTTGACTCCTATGTCCTGAGTTGGAGCTGTGGTTCTGAGATCCCAGGAAAATAGTTCCGCACGCCATTGCTGACTGTGAATGCTCAAGATGAGGGTCTGTCTAGAGTCAGTGACAACCTTTGGCCTGCTGGCTCAACTGCCTTTATTCCTGTGGATAGGGTGAGGACAGCCTCCCAGAAACCCAGACCATCGCTGGAAGGCCCTCAGGATGCACTGTGTTCAACCTTTCTGTTGTAGAGGCCCAGAGCAGAAAAGGCCTTGCCCAGAATTCCACAGCGGTTCGGGGTGGGCTACTTCATCTGGGGACCCTGCTTGACCCTGGGTCAGTGCTCATCCCAGCGAAGGCTCTGTCTTCATCCCGAGTCCCCAGGAGTCTGCAGGCAGTAACTCCCATGCTTTAACTTCATCAGCGTTTCCTCAGACATCCGGGTGTGGAATGGGTGGTGGTTTGGGGTCTGTGGGACATGGAGGAGTGTGCAGACTTTACGGCTGGGTTCACACATGCCTTTTCTGTGCAGGAAAGGAAGTGGCTGATCGGTGGTACAGTGAAATCAAGAACTACAACTTCCAGCAGCCTGGCTTCACCTCAGGGACAGGTGAGTGGCAGCGGGGCCTGGGCTGAACAGCATCTTCAGAAGATTCCCTCTGCCTCCTGCATCCGCTCAGCCATACCCCTCTGGCTTAACTGTCCAGAAACCAAAGTTTCCTTTCCCTGTACCTGCCCACCTCACTCCAGCCCAGACCTGCACCTTTCTTCATCTGAGGATACCCAGGGTGATCCCAGCCAGCTCAAAGCTCAGTGTGTTCCTGCAGTGTGTTCTCATTAGAGAGTGCGTGTTCCTACTGAGCGTGTTCTCCTCACTGCAGTGTTCTCCTCACTGCAGCGTGTTCTCAGCATGTTCTCACTGCAGCGTGTTCTCAGCATGTTCTCACTGCAGCGTGTTCTCAGCATGTTCTCCTCACTGTGCTGTGTTCTCCTCAGAGTGTTCTCTTCAGTGTGTTCTCCTCACTGCAGAGTGTTCTCCTCACTGCAGAGTGTTCTCACTGCAGAGTGTTCTTCTCACTGCAGCGTGTTCTCCTCAGTGTGTTCTCCTCACTGCAGCGTGTTCTCACTGCAGCGTGTTCTCCTCAGAGTGTTCTCCTCAGAGTGTTCTCCTCAGAGTGTTCTCCTCACTGCAGCGTGTTCTCCTCACTGCAGCGTGTTCTCAGCGTGTTCTCACTGCAGCGTGTTCTCCTCACTGCAGCGTGTTCTCAGCGTGTTCTCCTCACTTCAGAGTGTTCTCCTCACTGCAGCGTGTTCTCCTCAGTGTGTTCTCCTCACTGCAGCGTGTTCTCAGAGTGTTCTCCTCACTGCAGAGTGTCCTCCTCAGTGTGCTGTGTTCTCCTCACTGCAGCGTGTTCTCCTCACTTCAGAGTGTTCTCCTCACTGCAGCGTGTTCTCAGCGTGTTCTCCTCACTTCAGAGTGTTCTCCTCACTGCAGCATGTTCTCCTCACTGCAGCGTGTTCTCAGCGTGTTCTCCTCACTGCAGCATGTTCTCAGAGTGTTCTCCTCACTGCAGCGTGTTCTCCTCAGTGTGTTCTCCTCACTGCAGCGTGTTCTCCTCAGTGTGTTCTCCTCACTGCAGCGTGTTCTCAGAGTGTTCTCCTCACTGCAGAGTGTCCTCCTCAGTGTGCTGTGTTCTCCTCACTGCAGCGTGTTCTCCTCAGCGTGTCCTCCTCGGTGTGTTCTCACTGTAGTGTGTTCTCCAGAGCCTGGATTTTAGCTGGGTGTTTCTTTCTTGAACTGCTCTGAGCATGTCTAATGGACTGGTCATCCTGCCTCTGGTGTTTCTTCTGCTTCAGCTGCTCTCCTAGTTGCATTGCTGAGGCTCCCTGGAGGCAGTCAGGAAAGTCAGGCCAGCCTTCACCTCCCCTGCTTCGCACCTCCCTCCTCTTCCTGCCCATTCTCCACACCTCAGGGTACTGGGGATTCCCCTTCCTCTTGCATTCGAGGCTGTGGTTCAGATGAGTCTAAGATATGGAAAAGCTCAGGCTCTTCCTCGCTCTGCGATTTGTTGTGTGAACTTGAGTCAGTTCTTTTTTCCCTATCCAAGGACATGGTGGTGGCCTCCCAGGCGCTTCTGGGAGTGGTGATGCAGAAGCAGAGGAGACCACCTTTCTTATAGGCCCTCTCTAGAGCAAGCAGTAAACGTATATGTGTGTGTGTGTGTGTCTGTGTGTGTCTCTGTGTGTGTGTCTGTGTGTGTGTGAATGCATTTGTGTGTGTCTGATGCATATGTGTGTGTGATGCATGTGTGTGTGGTGCATGTGTGTGTTATATGCATGTGTGTGTGATATGCATGTGTGTGTGTGATATGCATGTGTGGGTGGTGCATGTGTGTGTTATATGCAAGTGTGTGTGTCTGTGTATGTGTGATGCATATATGTGTGTGTGTGATGCGTGTGTGTGTCTGTTTGTGTGTGTGTGTGATGCGTGTGTGTGTGTACGTGTGTGTGTGATGCATGTGTGTTATATGCAAGTGTGTGTGTGTGTGTGATGCGTGTGTGTGTAAAAATGCTGATGTCTCATGTCTTCCTCAGTTGCTCTCCACCTGATTTTTGAGATTGGGCTTCTCACTGAATCTGGAGCTCAGCAACTGGACTGGCCGGACAGTGCGCTCCCACGCCCACCTGGTGCTGGGGTAACAGTGCTGCCAGGCAAGCTTTTGCCCCAGTGCTAAGGATGAGCCATTCCTCCAACCCTGAGCAGCCCCGTTTTCCCCCCACCCCCCACCCCATCCCCGTCTTTCCTAAGAAGTGACTCAGACCCTCCTGAGCCCAGGACAGGGTGGGAAGGAATGTGTATCTGATCCAAAGCACCACAGAAACTGAAAGAGGGGGTTCCCTTCCCACCCCAACCCCTACCCCACCATCCCATCTACGTAAGGGTAGAGTCACTTGGGGCCGCCCATCCCCTGGAGAGTTTCTACAGAAGCAGGAAATGACATGTTCTCACTGTTTCCTGTGGCTTACTGCTCACCCAGGAAGGGCTCATGTAATTTTAGGGACATTTCTTGTTCAGTTAGTCCCACCCCCCCACACACACACCTAAGGCTGCCTGGCTGAGGGGCAGGAAGCAGCTGCCAGAGCTGCAGATGACAACGACCTTGCCTCTGAATGAGGAGGAGGAGCAGTGGTTAAGGATGTGTAGGCAGAGCCTTGTCTTCTTTCAATGCAGACAGTGCTCAGATGGTGGTGGCACATGCCTTTAATCCCAGCACTCAGGAGGCAGAGGCAGGCGGATCTCTGTGAGTTCGAGGCCAGCCTGGTTCTTGAGCAACCTGACAGGGTTGCAGGAGCTGCGCGTGGCAGCTTGATGCCTATCAAGTGATCGTATCCATGGCTGCACCAGCCTCCAAAGCAGGGCCTTACTCTGCTTTTAGCAAAGAAGACCAGACCTACAGAGAGGAGGGCTTTCCTCATGCCTTCTCTTCTTACTGGGTGTCTGTGCAGTGCTGGGGACAAATGTCACTGGAGCGGGGCTTTGTTTGGTGTTGCAGAGCTGAGGCTTCTGGATCCTTGAGGATTGTCAGGTCCATCCTGCCCGAGTCTCTCAGTTCCTAACTTCTGGATCCTTGAGGATTGTCAGGTCCATCCTGCCCGAGTCTCTCAGTTCCTAACTAACTTCTGGATCCTTGAGGATTGTCAGGTCCATCCTGCCCGAGTCTCTCAGTTCCTAACTAACTTCTGGATCCTTGAGGATTGTCAGGTCCATCCTGCCCGAGTCTCTCAGTTCCTAACTAACTTCTGGATCCTTGAGGATTGTCAGGTCCATCCTGCCCGAGTCTCTCAGTTCCTAACTTCTCACTGCATTATGTTCTGGGGTTCCCTGACCTGAGTTCATATGGGTGGAAGGCCTATGAGACACCTTACAATCTGCTTGGACTGGCAGCCCCTCCCCCAGCCAGCCCTCCATGATAAAGCTATGAGCTGCATGGAAATCCTTACAGTTGCTTTGTTCCGTCCGGTTTAAGTGAACAGATTTGTTTATGCTAAATGAGAACTAATCTGACACCACATGGCATCCGAAAGTGATACAAGTTTCTGGTTTCTTGTGCTATTCTGAGTTGTGTGTGGACAGCCACTTTTGTACTGTCTGAGAGTGTTTCAGACCAGTAAAAAGCCCCCCCTTCTTTCTTATCTTGTGCATTATTTCTTTGCAAGGATACTCTGTAATAGGTCCAGTGTGGTTTCCAAAGGCATATTCTGGGAAGTTTCCGTCCTCAGCCAGAAAGAGGATGTAAGCCCTTTAAGGGGTGGAGGCAAAGAAGAAAAGAAAAAGGAACTGTTGTTGGAAGTGTTAGAAACCAATATGTATCTGATGTTGCTAAGGAAGTTGTGCCCCCTAATTCATCTCTAAATACCATAACGGGATTATCTGTGCAAGCGGAAACCTCCACAGAGAAGATTGCACAGGGCCCTCCCTTAGAAGCAGCTGCCACGGGCGTCTAGCCACTGATGCACACTTTCTGTCCAGCCAGTTGCTTGGCAACAGTGGATGATGGGAGTTTCCTTCTTCTCTGGGAAACAGAGAGAAAGATGGTCAGTGGCCAAAGCCTGTGGTCACTTTAGAGTAGCCTGTGTGAGAAAAGGCTTGAGCCCTGGCCAAGAGGCAGCCAGAGAAGCAGAAATGCCTGACAAGGCTGTCCAGTGCCTGGAGTTGTGATCCGCGACAGAACGACCAAGGGTGACCAGGCCAGAAGCGCCTCTCTGCTCAGAGCTGAAAACAGAAAGTTTATAGAGCTGAGGTCAATACAAGTTTAAAGATAAGTGAGGATTTAGAATTGTAACTAGGCAGTTTTTCTTTTGCTTAAAAAAAATCTTTGAGATAGGATTCCTTCAAATGGCTTTTTAAGAAAGCTTGTATTTGACACATACTTCGGGTTGGCCTGGGGCTCATGATCTTCCTGCCTCTGCCTCAGTGGTGGTTGGAGTGCCTGTGTCACACACAGGAAGTCCTGGGTCCGAGCCCCAGCACTGCATAAAAGCTGGTGTGTTGACGTGGGCTATACATGAGAGTGAGTCATTCTTGCCTGCATAGACTATGAGGCGTCCCTGAGATAGAGACCCCGTCTTTAAAAAAAGGAAACACTGGCAGTTGCTGGCAGCCTCACTGCTAAGCCTGTCTGCTTTCCTAACTCTAAGAGTGTGGCGCTTCCTTCCTCTCCATCTTCTTCTGAAGTACCAGCCGTACTCAATGAGAGCCATGCCCATACTTGTGTGTCTTCCTTTCTGTGACTTTCTCTTTGAGAAGCCACACTCTTGAGTATGCCTTGATTTCTTCTAGGCACCTCCCTTCTCCACTTAACCTTCGTGTCTAAGCCTAATTTAGAAGATCTTTACTAAACTCCAACTCCATAAGAAAACAACAGCAACAAAACTTTGTTCTTTGCCGTGTGGTGGATCACAGGGGGAGGAGCCAGTGGGAATGGAGAAGAGAAAAGGCGGGGTGTGGCCAGGATACAGAGGGGGATGTTTGGTAAACGAAAGGGTGGTTATGTAAGGCTTATTTAAACAAATGACATTTAGTCAGAGGTCTAAGGGACAAGAAACTGTCAATCAGCAGAAGAGCTCCCAAGGACGGGGGTCTCAGAGATAGAGTACTTACTGGTATGTACAATCGTGGGTTCAATTCCCAGTCCTGGAAAAAAATCCACACGCAGGCTGATTTGAGCAAGGGTTCATTCCTACAGGGGCTCTTAATAGAAAGCAACTTGCTGTGCTCAGGGAACGGAAGGAGACCACCAGGTCGAAGAACTAGCTTTCATTCTAGATGCAACTAGCAGTGTAAGATTTTGACTTGAGGACGTTAAATAGGTATGACTGACATCTTAGCATGATCTAATTCATTATCTTCACGTTCATTCGCAGTGGCATTTCCCATTCTCATAGTGACAGATGAATAGGGAGCACCCAAGTGGAACCAAGGACAGCCAGATGTTGCATCATTTCAAGAGAGAAAGCTATGAATGAAACCAAGGTTTTGGAAGAATGTAGTAGAGCTAGATTTTAGAGTTAACGCTCCCGGGAACGAGCGGTGGGTTGTTGTGAGGAGTATCCGAGAGAGGAAAGAATGCAGGCTCATCCCCCGGTTATGTGCGCAGAGATGCTGTGCATCCAGATGGGAGGTCAGCGGAGGAGTGAGTCTGAGGGACCAAAATCGAGAGTGAGATCTGGACTAGATTGCAGCTGTGAGTCATCAAGTGGAAGTGTGTGGTGACTGTGTCTGGGACAGAGAGTGGAAAGTTGACCCGGGGAAATCCATCTGGGAGCCAGGGAAAGATGAGACTGCCCGAAGAACAGTGCAGAAAGAAAAGGAGAGCTCCTGGACTGAGGATGAAGAGAGGCTGCAAGCCCGAGACAGGAGGGAGCTGAGAGACTCCGCCACGGAACTCAGTGAGGAGAACGCTTTGATAAGAACTGTAGTAACGTTCCTGGAGGTCAACTTAGACACAGATTTTTAAACAGACCATCAGAAAATAACAGAGATGGTTAAAGAATTTAGTTTGGGGGTCTGGAGAGATGGCTCAGTAGATAAAAACGTTTATTGCTATTGCAGAGGACCTGAGTTCAGTTCCCAACACCGACATAGGTTTCACAACCACTCGTAACTGCAATTCCGTCTGCCACCGTCTTCTGACCGCCTAGGGAACCATATACATGCAGGCAAAACATCCATACACATAGAATATTACTTAAAAATCTAAAAGTAAAGAGTTCAGTTTGGGGCTCCGTTGAGGGTTGGTGCTGGCGTCACAGGTGCGGAGACACTGCGTTTTGTCACGACCTCACAAAGACCTTGTGAAAGTGTTGAGGCAGCTGAGGTCGGTGTGACTGATTGACAGGCCATTCAGCCAATGTGCTTCGTTTCTTCGTCATGATTGGCATCTGCAGATTTCTAACTGCCTGAGACTGACAAGAGCATGCATGGCTTTGAGGGTCCCCTAAGCATCCTTTTCGGGGTTCAGCTGACTCACCGTTGCTCCTCCCTCGATTCCCACAGGACACTTCACAGCCATGGTGTGGAAGAATACGAAGAAGATAGGAGTGGGAAAAGCATCAGCGAGTGACGGGTCCTCCTTTGTGGTGGCCAGATACTTTCCCGCAGGGAATGTCGTCAACCAGGGCTTCTTCGAAGAAAATGTCCCACCTCCAAAGAAGTAACTCTCCAGATGTCACGAGCAGGTGGAGACACACATACAAAGTGCCTATAGAACAACAAAGAGCCAGCGAGTGTCTACCCGGGGTGTATGCACTTGTGTGTGTACCCTCGAACATCCGTACACACACCATAGGCAACAGCGACTGAGCTCCTTCCTGGTTAAAGGATGGCCACCGAAAGCATTTATCTGGAGGGTTACCTAACCACAACTACTTAGATTTGGGTGTGGTCAAATCTGACATCTCTTGGCTGTTGTTTTTTTAAGTAGACTTCATTTGTATCTTTCTTAATTCTACTATTCATCCTCGGACTTTGTATTCTGAAAATTGCCATGTTGAGAAGGGAGGTCATTTTACATGTACTTCCTGTGTTACAATCTCCTTCTGGTAGATTTTGAAGAGTATTAAACCTTCCTTTAAATGTGACATAAAGCAGCTTGCTTTAGAGATATGTGACTAGCTCCATTTCACCGTCAGTGAGATTTCTTGTTCTCAGTTGGAAGACATGATATCATCCCACAACCTCTGGGATTCCCTAATGGAATTGCCAAAGAGCAGATGGAGAAGGAAAAACAAAGAAAGCCTTACTTCCTTGCAGTTTTACCCTTTAAAGAACAGATGCCACAGCCCTAGCACCTTTCACACCTCACGTCTTTTTTTGAAATGCTTGCAGCCTTACATCTGGCTTCTGGGGGCGGGGCTAGGTCTGGAATGCAGCCCTGCCCCCACTCCCATCTCGCTGGACCCTCACACTGCCTGGGCCTTTGGCCAAGGCTTTGGACTATGAGGTCAGTGATGTGGGGGTGAGGATTTAGCTCGTTTGGGGACCCTGGAGGAAGCCCGACAGCCTCTGCCCTTTTCCAGCCCAGCAGGCAGTGACCACCCAGCCCTGTCCCCTGCAGCTGTATCTGCAGCTGAGCTGTGACTCCCTCCTGGAATGTGTGACAAGCCCAAATGCTCCCGGGAAGAGGCCCAAACAGGGAGATTAGGAACGCTAATTTGATTAGGAACGCTAATTTGATTCTGTGTTTTGCCTCAAACTATACACAGTTCCCTCTGAATAGCTGTTGAACCAGGTCCCCTTGGGAGAGACCACGTCAGAGGTCCAGTTGAGTGTCCCTGAAACGATGGCATCTCCTTCTGCCGACACCAGGGCTGGGGGAAGGGGAGGTTATCTAAGGAAAAGATCCAGTCTTCGTTACACTGTGAACAGTCTCACGTTGATTCATCCAGGGATATCGACTAATGAGACAATAAAATCCTTTCTTTTTGTGTAATTCTTCCTCTAATGCTTGTAGTTATGGCTTAGATAACTCAGGACTCTGAATCCATCTTGAACTGCTCCACCTCCCAAGTCCCTCCCCTAAATAGCCCTTGGGAAACATGTGACCTACTAGGCTCACAGATGAATGGACACCCCATCTGAAGGCAGACGGCCCCTAGACAGGCCAGGGACAAGGAATTTGAGCCTAGACACATGGAGAGAATTTACTGGTGGAACTGAAAATATAAGGATGGTATAAGCTTAAAATAGAGCCCCAGCAAACCTAAGCTATTTGTAGTCCAGGTATTAATGGTAAAGACAGATGAGCCTGGCCTGGAGGCACAAGCCTCAATCCTGGCTACCCTGAAAACGGAAGCAGGAGGATTAGAAGTTCAAGGCCAGCCTGGTCAACTTAGTCTTAAAAAGAAAAAGGAAGGCGGAATGTGGCTGACATGCCTGAGGCTCCAGCCTAGTGACAAGCCCGTCCCCACCCCACTGTGCTTCCAAGACAAATTTGAGAAGAGTAGATACTGAGGATACCCCGACCTTCCTACTCATAATCCTGTATATCTTTGAAACTGCCCCAACTTAAGGGTTTGTAATATGATGATATCAATCTATGAAGATTAGAACATTAGGGTTTCCTCCCCCAGGAAATCCCCAAATATGGAAAACTCTGAGCAGGGCAGGAAGGTCGAGTGGAATAAAGGGGTCTGGCAGGGGCCCTTATCCGGCCACACCAAGCAAACAGCCATTGAGTTCCTGGTTGATGCCTAGGGACACCAACATATACACAGGGCCAGGTGGTGGAAGCTGGCATGAAGCCAGTCACTATGCTAGAGTCTTTCCACAGTTGGGACTAAGGAAAACGCTGCTTTCCAGGACTGGAGAATTGCCAGGCGGTGATGCTGGCGGAACTGATGGACACAGACACACCCATTTTCTTCTTTCTCTTTTGACAGTCTCATGGAGTATCCCTGGCTGGCCTAACCCTTGCTATGTAGACTGGGCTGGCCTCAGACTGGTAATTCTGCCCCAGTTCATTCTTCTTTAACTATAAAGGAACATTTTTATTAACCAGGCATGTGCGTGCACACTTTTAGTCCCAGCAGAGGCAGAGACAAACAGGCAGTTCTCGATGAGTTCCCAGCCAGCTTGGTCTACCTAGAGAGTTCCAGGACAGCCAGGGCTTCATAAAGAGACCTTGGGTTTTGAGGTTTTTGTCGCTGTGATAAAACACCATGACTGAAAGCAGCTTGGGGAAGAAAGGGTTTATTTCATCTTACACTTTCAGTAACAGCCCATCACTAAGGGAAGTCCGGGCGGGAACCTGGAGGCAGGAACTGAAGCAGAGTTCCTGGAGGAATGCTGTTGACTGGCTTGCTTGGTTTGTTTTCTTATACCGCCTAGGACCACCTGCTCAGGGATGGCACCAACTCAGTGAGCCGGGCCCTCCAAATCAGCATTAATCAAGGCAATACCTCTCTGAGTTGCAGACGGTGTTTTCTCGTCCAGATCAACCACAACACTGTCTCAGAGCAAAACCCTGTGTGTGAAGTGGGGGGGGGGCTGGGGGCGGTAAGAACAACTTTGTGGAGTTACTTGTGTCCTTCTGCCTTCATGCAGGGCCCCAGGAATTGAATGTGTGGTCAGACCTGCTGTGCAAGCATCTTACCTGCAGAGCACCTCAACGGCACCCCCCAACACACACATACATCTTTTTCCTCTCTCTCTCTCTCTCTCTCTCTCTCTCTCTCTCTCTCTCTCTCTCTCTCTCTCTCTCTCTCTCTCTCTCTCTCTCTCTCTCTCTCTCTTTAATCTCAAGGCGTCCAGGCTGGGTATATAGTGGAGGGTGACCTTGAACTCCCAATCTTGTTGCTGTCTCTCAGGGCTTGAATTACAGGTCTGGACCGCCATTCCTAGTTTATGTGGGGATCAAATCCAGGGCTTTGTGCTTGGTAGACAAGCCTTCTATTCACTGGGCTACCCCAGTCCAGTTTAGTGAACTCCTTTCCTTTTTACATTTTTGACTTTGGGTCTATTCCGTTGCCCAGGCTGGCCTGAACTTACAATCCTCCGTCCTCAGCTTCCTGAGGGATGAGACACCTGTAGACCACCACTCCCCGCTCTGTTTTAAGGTCTCTATGTTGCCCAGGCTGACCTTAAACTCAAAGATCCTCCTGCCTCTCCTTGCCAAGTAATGGGATCCTGAGTTTTCTGTCTCGAGTTTGTTGAGGACCACAAGCTCTGCGGTTAAAATCAGAGCACAACTTGAACTTCAGTTGAGCAAGCCTCTTCCATGTCAGGTCTGTCAGGTCCTCCCAGACCACCATGATCTCTGGCTGGAGGCACACGCTGAGTGTGCTCCTTCCTGTCCTGGTGCTCAGGAGTCTGATGACCTCCTGCTTCTGATAAATGTCCCAGCAAGTGGGGTCTGGCAGCCAGGAGGCTGCTGGGAGTCAAGCGTCCTTATCAGCATCCTGCTGCTTCCTCCAGCCGGTGGTCACTGCTTCTCAGGTGACTGGAACTGGACAAGCATGCAGTTAAACAAACAAACAAACAAACAAACAAATGCTCCCAGAGGGAGAGACCGGACTGTGGGGACTGAGCAGAGCCACATAGGCATGGGGCTGGAACCCAAGTGTTCTTCCAAGTGGGGAGACAGGTTTCTGAGCCTTTCTCTGCTATCACATTTAAAGAGCTTATCTCTCCTGGAAAACAAACATCAAGACGAGTAACTTCAGTATTTAAAAGTAATTGTTAAAAAAAAAAAAAAGAGTAAAAGCTCCAAATTGCCAAGACTCCCAAATAGAAAAGGCTCGGTTTTGAATGAAAAGATGAATGAGAAAGCCAGAGAGAGAAGGACTGGGGAGATGAGGCCGACAGCTCCCCGGGAGGGGGAGGGGGGCGCTCGGGGGTGGGGCTTAGAGCCCAGAGTGGAGATCCCGGTCTGAGCCAGTAAGTAGTACAGGGCCCAAATGGCAAGACTCTTCTTTAGCGGTCATGCACCCCCTCTGGGCTCGGCTCCACATCTGAAAAAAGAGACTTTGACCCCGGTTCAGAAGTGTGCGCTTCCGAGTCCCTCCCACACCACCGAGTCCCTGGCGCGACGTAGCAGGCGGAAAGGGGCCCCCAGCGGCGGGTTTCCTCTCGCCGTTGGGGCTGCGGAGCGCGCAAGCGGCGTGCTCCCAGGCGGGAGGTGACTCTGCAGCCCCACCGTGCGGCCGCAGCGGGCTCCTGCAACCCGCCGAGAGCTTCGGAGATGCCCACAGCCTCCCACCCAGCGCCCATTGGCGGTAATAATGACTAAGAGACAGCAGCTGGCATTTATTTGAAAGTTTGCTATAAGCTAAGCACAGTGCCTGCTGCTGTCCAGTTATGTATTCCCATCTCACAGAAAAGGATCCTGGGGCCCGAGCAAACTTGGATGGAGAGAACCGGCCAGACACTATCCCAGCATTTTTCTAGATACTTGGAAATCTGGAGCAGGACAGTTCCAAGCCCTCCCATCTTCCTGCTGCCGGCTGGTCCTCTTCGTTACTGCGCCAGGGAGCCCCCCCCCCTTCATTCTGAATAAAAATGGTGTCCTGACTACAGATGCCCAGGGACCTTAGCAGAGAAAGGGCCTTTGGGCTTAAGAATCAGAACATGGAAACTGGGTGACCCCGGCTTCCTGGAAGAGGGGGGGTGCCCTACACATAGCCCTCTCTGCCTCCAACTATCTCTAGGACTCCCTGACATCCTTTCTTATAGGGACTGGCGGGTGAGACCGGAGGCTTCCAGATAGTGGTAACGTGGTCTCCTCCCCTCCCATTATCTCCACTATGCACAGCTGCCTTCTGCCCCACCCAAACCAGCACTGACATTCCTGGTGAGGCCTTGCATCGCAGCTTGAAAGCCCCAGGTGGACGCTGTGGTCCGCTCCCCGAGCTTCCTCTAGGCTTCTCTGGCTTGAACCAGGTCCTCACGGCCTCCCAGGCTCGCGCCATCTGAGGAGAGAACGGCCCCATGCCTCTGACAAGGGCCGGGGGGGGGGAGGGGGCTGCATTGTGATGACCTCATACATTCTATGACATCACCCCCTCTCCCACCCCCACTCCTCTCTGGTCAGCTGCTCTGCCATCAACCATCCGTCCAAATCCCAAAGGCCTGAAAAAGTCTGTCCTCCAGTACCCGCTGCTGATCTCTCTCTCAGCCAACGAGAAGCACCATGAAACTGGAATTCACAGAGAAAAACTACAACAGCTTCGTACTGCAAAACCTGAACAAACAGAGAAAGCGCAAAGAGTACTGGGACATGGCCCTGACTGTGGACCACCACGTCTTCTTCGCACACCGCAACGTGCTGGCTGCTGTCTCGCCGCTGGTCAAGAGTCTCATCTCCAGCAACGACATGAAGACCACCGACGAGCTCTTCATCACCATTGACCCCAACTACCTGAGCCCAAGCACGGTGGACCAGCTCCTGGACTACTTCTACAGCGGCAAAGTGGTGATCTCAGAGCAGAACGTGGAGGAGTTGCTTCGGGGCGCTCAGTATTTCAACACCCCACGCCTCCGGATTCACTGCAATGACTTCCTTATTAAGTCCATTCGCCGGGCCAACTGCTTGCGCTACCTCTTCTTGGCTGAGCTGTTTGAGCTCAAAGAAGTATCAGACTTGGCCTACTCTGGCATTCGTGACAACTTCCACTTCTGGGCCAGTCCCGAGGGCTCCATGCACTTCATGCGCTGCCCACCGGTCATCTTCGGCCGCCTGCTGCGCGATGAAAACCTCCACGTGCTCAACGAGGACCAGGCTCTCAGTGCACTCATCAACTGGGTGTACTTCCGGAAGGAGGAACGGGAGAAATACTTCAAGAAGTTCTTCAACTACATCAATCTCAATGCTGTCTCCAACAAGACGCTCGTGTTTGCCAGCAACAAGCTGACAGGTTTGGAGAACAACTCCGCCCACGCGACCTTGATCGAGAGTGTCCTAATGGACCGCAAGCAGGAACGGCCATGCAGCCT